TTGCAATTTTCAATGCACGATTTCCATTCAATCTCATTTTTGTGCAAAATAATGCGATGCGATGCAAGAACATAAAATACAACACTTTTTTGAAAAAAGCTGTTTCATTCCATCATGTTTCCTTTGTTACAACATTTTACAACAAGGGTACAAGTTTTACAGAAAATAAAATTGCCTAATAATGTGCAATGTGCTACAACTACTAGTAAAAAGGCAAATAAAGCCAGGAACATCTGTGCTCTCAAGCGTAAGAAAAAGAGGCCCTCTTCGTCCTTTTCTGCGGAATAGCCTCAACACCACCATCATCGCCATCTGAGTCAGAGCTGCCATCCTCGAGATCCTCCTCGGCATTATCTTCACCCTCAGAACCAGACTCAGAGTCATCCTCTCTGCCAGCAGATGTCTCTAACTGACGATGCGCGGACTCCTCCTCCTCACTGGACTCCTCCTCAATAATATGTGCTCTGCGCCCGCCTCGTCCGTGAGACGACTCCCCTCTCCCGGCTCTCCGAGAAGGCCTAGATGGCCCAGCTCCTCCGGAAGGCCCAGATGGCCCGGCCTGTGGTCCGGTATATATCGGAGGCATCTGAAAAGAAAGAGTGCAATTTGAATACATCAACCATAATATGTATATCAGATGTACAGATAAAAAGTTACATGGAGTGGATGTATGCAAATATAGCACATGGATGTTGTGTGTGTCAAATGTGCTCTCCCTATACAGTCGGTCAATCAATGCAGTGAAATGTTCAAATTCAGCATGTCATCAGAAATATGATAAATGCAAGAAAACTGAACAGTACCGAGACGCCCATGATGGACAGCTGCGCCTCTCTCCGTAAGACCATGCCTTCGAGCGAGGCCACTAACCCGAGTAACAACTCAGCATACTCTGTGGTAGGCTGCAGATGCAAGTGTAAATCATCAGTGAATGAATGAATGTCCAAGTATCTGAGTGATAAAGCAAAGCTGTAAAACATACCGGTGGTGAGTTAGGGTCTCTGGTGTATGGATGATCTGGCATAGGAGGCTCTAGCGGAATTGGGTAGGAAGCGCTGTATCTCCATCCCGTCAACTCAGTCGGGATACCTGGCCATCCGACATCATGATAAGTCGGGGGAATCGGGGGGACTAGTCCAACCCCACCTCTGGATGTGCCAGCCCTACCGGCCGAAGGAATGTCTCTGGCTCGGGTACGACTCGAAGACGGCATGCCGGTAGACCTCCTCGAGGGAGTACGAACACCTGTCAATGGAGGCATCAAGTAGGTGTGATGGTAGGTCGCGTACTCCCCGTCCTCCAAATACAGCAGTGCATCAATGCCCAGCCTGGCATCAATGACACCCTGGAGAGTAAGCCTATCAGCGAGCCGCATATCGTCTGGGGGTACTGAAGGGACACTCGGCTCAGGGAAGCCCATAGTCTGACGAAGAAAGCGTTCCCCTAGGAACCAAGCCCTACCAACTGGCCCCTCGAACAAGATCCTATACCGGGAGGAGGCCCATCCTCCGGTAAACTAGAATCGGAGATCCTCACCCAGAGGCGCCCAAGGCTGCCATAAGATCTGCAGATAGCCAATGCATAAGCTGATTAGAAATCGCAAATGTCCAAAATGAATCAAAGATGAACACATAAAGAACTGAGAGTTTTGACATACCTCGGTCACCCGCATAGTGTCAAAATACTGTCGTAGGTAAGGGAGAGTCTCCCGGGGCCGCGACGGGTACTGGCCCTCGAAGACGAGCGAATAAGGGGTCATGAGAGGGGCCTCCACCTCGAGCTCCGGGGCTAGCGTCAGAAAGTACGCGAAGACCCATAACTGTGGAAAACAGGGCAAAAGCCATCAAAATACAGAATGCTGAGGGCAGAATATAAGTACAGAATGTAAAGTGTGCCGTGTGTGCAATGTACAGATAATGAAAAGCAGAAATGTGAATCAAGAGGGCAGAAGGTACCTCCCAGGCTCTCCAATAGCCGCCGACTATGTTCCCCCGCCTGCGGGAGGTCGCACTCATATAGCAATAGAGGGTAGCCAAGCTGGGGCCACCCCAGTCATACTGACTAACCTGTGTGAGGTCTACCAAGGCACTCAGCAAATATAGCCCAACGGTGTTCCCGCTGTCGGCGAATAGCGTGGTCCCGAAGAGGAACATCAAAAACCCGCAGGCGTACTGCGCAATCTCCTCAGGAGTCTCGGGCTCAGTCTCCCTGAACTGTGCAGAAAACCAGGTATATCGGACTCGGCCCAAAGATCGGTCTACCGGTGAGCGAGCTCCCAACAGATGAATCCAAGTTGCCTCCCACTCGCCCATATCCTCGTCGTAAGGGATCGCCCAGCCTCCCACGTCAAGGCCCGTCAACACGGCAAAGTCAAATGGGGTCATGGTCATGTCCCCGGCGGCTGAGAAATGGAAGGAGTTGGTGGTGTCCCACCATCTCTCCACCAAAGCACCCATCAATGTCCGGCTAGCTGGATAACGAGATATCCCGGTACAAAAGGTCCCGAATCATGCCAGATCAACCCAATCGCGGACAGCCTCCGGGAGCTCCGCGTACCAATCTCTCGCAGCAATAGAACCGTATCCCCGTGTCATGCGGGAGGATGTCTGCATTCATAACGAACACATGTATTTAGTTTCAGAATGGAATGAATAAACTGTATGCAAATAAAGGAAATGTGCTGTGTGCAAATCAAATCAACTTCTGCGTGTTCACCAACAAATGTGGGCTGCGTGTTCACAATCAAATTTGGGCTGCGTGTTCAGATTTCAGAAATTTAAAGTTTAGGCTGCGTGTTCAACTTTCAATCAAATGTGGGCTGCGTGTTCAGATTTCATAAATTTAAAGTTTGGGCTGCGTGTTGAACTTTCAATCAAATGTGGGCTGCGCGTTCACCATCAAATTTGGGCTGCGTGTTCAGATTTCAGAAATTTAAAGTTTGGGCTGCGTGTTCAACTTTCAATCAAATGTGGGGTGCGTGTTCACAATCAAATTTGGGCTGCGTGTTCAGATTTCAGAAATCTAAAGTTTGGGCTACGTGTTCAACTTTCAATCAAATATGGGCTGCGTGTTCACCATCAAATTTGGGCTGCGTGTTCAGATTTCAGAAATTTAAAGTTTGGGCTACGTGTTCAACTTTCAATCAAATGTGGGCTGCGTGTTCACCATTAAATTTGGGCTGTGTGTTCAGATTTCAGAAATTTAAAGTTTGGGCTGCGTGTTCAACTTTCAATTAAATGTGGGCTGCGTGTTCACCATTAGATTTGGGCTGCGTGTTCAGATTTCAAAAATTTAAAGTTTGGGTTGTGTGTTCAACTTTCAATCAAATGTGGGCTACATGTTCACAATTAAATTTGGGCTGCATGTTCAGATTTCAGGGATTCAAGTGATTAAGCTATGTGTTCAAGACGGAGTATTGTGTTATAAACTAAGCGTGCAGAATAAGTTGTGTGCTAAAATCAGCAGAAGCATGGCATGAGAATGTGTTCCGAACGAGCAATAAGCATGCATAACATGAAATGTAAGGAAAATGCAGAATAAAGGTAGGAAATGTAAAAAAGTGAAGTACATACCTCTCGCGCCTCATGAGAGAGATGGGACTCCAGCTCTCGCAATAACAGGTCTACAGGAGCTCAAGGGTCGAAGTCGGTAAAATGATAAAAAATCGCCCGAGGGAGGACATGAGTCGAAGGATCGTACCTCTCGGGGATAAAGGGGCGAACCCTCGGATGCAAAGACATGATGTCAGGCTCACCTCTGACGCCTGGAGAACCTCCGTCGTGGGGAAATTGACCCGCCATTTCAAGAAATCTGCCAAAAATGAGCAAAAATGAGCGAAATGAGCCAAAATTAGAAAAAGTCAACAAAAGTCAACTCTCGGGAAATAAAAAAGTCAGCAAAAGTCAACTCCCGAGAAAATCTTCCAAATATTGAGACAAACTTACCTCAAGTGGTGAAAATGAGAAAAGAAGCTCCGAAATCAAATTTTAATCGGTTCAAAGTGAAGAGAACTGAAAGTTTTCGCGAAACAACTTGGTGTGGGGCATTGGAAAACGCGTATAAAGTGCAGATCTGAGAAAGAAAATGGTCTAGGAAGGAGGAGAAGGTAGTTTCGGAGCTGAAGTTATGAGAAAAAGGTGTTTGGCTTTGTATATTTAAAGAAATGGAAGCAAAAAGACTAAACTGTCCCGGATTTGGGCTAGGTGGTCGGCCGGCCACCTTTTTTGGTAGGCCGACCACCCCTTGCACTCCAACCTGGTCGGTGGCCTCCCCTGGACTCCAAACCTGGTCGGTGGTGTTCCCAAGGTGGTCTCCAAGGTCTCTGCAAAGTTTGGTAGTCATCAGAGTCCTCAGCACCCGAGAAAGTATAAGAAAAGTGCACTTTTCGTCGCGAAATCCCTCCGCAAGAACTCTAACTCCAACTTTCGATGCGTGTTTCATCGTCATTCGTCAAGAGCAAGATGTATCCTTTTTGAGCACGCTGTGACCCTTCTGGAAGGTAAACCAGAGGTCGCGATTGAGTTGCACTCGTCGAAATTTGCATTTCTTTGCTTGTTGTTTCGCGTCAAACACGCATTCGAATTTGCACTTATCCTGCATTGTTATGCACATCACTTGCATTCTCATACATACCACCTGCATTGTTGTGCACGTTTCATTGGTATTGTCATACCTCCATGCTTAACTTGCGTTGTCACACGCATGTCTCTCGCATTGCGATACACTTCCCATCGGCACCCTGTTTGTCTGCATTCGATGTAGCGTTGAACATGTGTTGCTAATGATATTGTACTTGTTAAGTTTCTCTCTTTTACAGGCACGATATTGTATGTACGGTTCATTTGAAGCTGGTGCGACCAGGCGAATCGCGCAGGTATTGTATCTTCTCCGTGTGAGACGTGGCGGGAATTGAACAATTCTCCGCATTCTTAAGCTGCATGAAATGTAGTTGTTGCTTTGCATTCTTGCTTAAAACTGTTGCGTGTGCGCTTCATTACAGCTTGCTGCTTTGCATGATCATGAGTTATATCTGGCTTTGTGCATATCATTTTGCATTTTGCCCCGGCCTGCGGGCATGCCTGCGGGCACATCTTTGTTGTCTTGTATGTTTGTCTAAGTCTTCGGCCTTGTCAAATGGGTCGTCTCTGGGCTTTGACATTCACTCCCGTCACGAATGACTTCCGAGTTCTGTCAAAGAGGGGCAACTGTAGACATATCATTTTTGACCGACCTTAAGACTTAGATGTCACCAGTTGAGGGCTCGGTGATGTTGTATGTTGTGCTCATTCTGAGGTTTCAGAGTCTCGGCTGCGAGCCTTGCCTCCAGACTTCGGGGCTCTTTTTGTGCCTTGCCTCGGTTTGCGAACCGAGTCCTGTTTTCTCCATTTTCTCTTCCCGAAGGGAGGGAGAGGTCTCGTAGACCATCTCTCAGTGGCCGTAGGCTACGTTTCGTGGTCGTAGGCTATTTTTCCCGTTTGGAGCCAAGTTTCCGGCTTTCGGAGCCGTCGGCCATGTGCCTCGGTTCGGGACAGCTTAACTACCTCTGTTTACTCCGATTTTTGGCACACATCTTATTTCCTTCCTTTAGAGGAACATTCTGGCCTTGGAGACCACCTTCGTGGTCATACGCCACTTTCGGTGCCTAACAGCCTGTTTTCGGGGCCCCGAACTGCGCGTTTTGGCCCCCGAACCTTCGTTTTGCATCCGTTTTGGTCCATTTTTGGTGAGGACCCTATTTTCATTTTTAGAAAGGTGGTAGGATGGTGGCCAGCCACCTCTTCCCCTGAAAATCCAATTTTCTCATTTTCTCTCTCCAAAAGCCGATTTTTCTGACAGAAAGCTGGTTTTTCTCACTTTTGAGCCACATTTTCTGGCTTTTCATACCACCATGATGATCTACTCATCTGGGAGGCCACCAATATGGGTAGGCCGACCAGTAATTCTTCTTGACCCTTTTGAACCTTGTTAAAAAGCTAGCTTTTCTCTCTCATGGGTTACATTTTTTGATTTTTCTCCACATGGCTGTGTTCTACTCATCTGGAAGGCCACCTTTCTAGGTAGGCCGACCAGTAATTGTTCTTGAACCTTTTGACCCCTGGTCGGCTGACCAGGGGGAGTGGCCGGCCGGCCACTTTAACTGGCCGGCCTGCTTATTGTTTTTCCCCTCTTTGAGTGTAATCCAGCTGTGCCAGCTGGAGATCATTTGGTGCATCCTCCATACACGTGTATGGAGGATCTTTGAAGCTTCCAAGAGAAGCTTTGGCCTCTCTTCTCTATAAGAAAGGCCCTCCTCTTCATCTCAGCTGGTTAGACACTTTTGCTTAAGGCTCATCACCTCCCACCTCCATTGCTACTATTCCAAGCTCCAAAACCCTAACTTCCTTGGTCCATTTACACTACAACCCATAGCACCACACCACCATCATCCATTTCAGTCCCTTGGAAGTCATTTTCAGAGGTTGAAAGCTCATTTCCTTGGACCAAAGGCTGCTGGAAAGTTGAGCTACAAGGGTAAGCTCCTATTCTCCCCATTTTTGCACTATTTTGTTCTATATCTTAGCCCATTTTTCTTACATTTTTGGGCTTCGGCCTGAACTAAAAAAAGTCTTATTTTGAGCTTATATTCATGTTTGGTTAAGGACTTTTCTCTGTTTGAAGTCTTCTACTCCCCCTTTGTGCTTTATCCCTCTTTTGGGGCTCATTTTGCATGATATATTA